AAAAAAAAAGAAATTAGAGCTCTAAATTATAATCCCTCTTTATTTAAAATAAAATTCATCCTGAGCTATCTCCCAGCTTAAGTTATTAAGTTATCGTAAGTTAAGTTACGATATTCCTGATATCCTATTATTATCAATTCAAACTAAGCCAAAACACATTTATCTTCATCTATTCAGGAGCTTCCCCATCTTACCTAATTGATATATTCTGCCATTTGTCATCATCTTTACCAACCTCCTTCATTTAGCCATTGTTAAATGTTAGAAAACCAGGGAGTGGTAAAAATACATTCCTAGTAATTAACAGATGATACATTCATAAGAATGATGATCGTGAAGTCATTTTATATCACATTTTCAAAAAATATTTTAACAAAAAAACCCACAAAATGTCTAAAAATATATAACTGAACATACAAATAGATGCTGATTTTGCCGATATACCTATGATGTACAAGCCTACATGTGCCTACATTGTCCACATGAATCTGTGTGTATGATGGAAGAAGGAAAACAAAATATTGGGGGTGGGGCAGAATCAAAATGTCCCTCAATCAGCGATGTGCAGAGTATTACCATCTGACTAGTTTTGATGTTTTGGATTCTCGTTAATGTAAAATAGAGATTAACTATCACCTGTAAGGTTCTCAATAAAGCTCTAAAATTACGTAATTTCTTATCACAAATACCAAACTACACTGACATCACTTTTCAGCTTTCAAAGAACATTTTCAAAGTATCTAATTCAGTTGTTGTTCCTCCTGTTTATCCATTTTACACATGGTGTTCTCAGCCAGCATGAGGACACAAACCATAACTTCTTCAGAATCCCAGCACCTAACACAGTGCCTGACAAAGGAACCAAGTAGGTAATTCATGGAACTAGATTACTGAACATTCCTAACGGGGCAACAGGCCAGGCACCTTCCTGCATTTTGTAAGTGATGAAATCATAAAGAAAAATAAACTGATTTTCCCAAGGTTCATCGAAGGAGACTAGAGACTGATACATATATGTATTTAGGCAAAATGAGAAAAGGCAGAAAGGGAAATATCAGGATACAATCACATGGACACAGCCAAAAGAAGACTTGACCAGAACACCAAGGGCAGGAAAGTAGAATGGACAGTTGTAGAAGAGGCTGTTAGTTGTCAACCCACTTCTTTTCCTAACTCAATCCTGCTCCCTGAAACTCAGATGAAATGGCTGGAGTCATCTGGACAATGAAAAGGCGGATCACAGCCTACAAAATGTAAAGTACAGAGGTAGAAGGGACCAGGGTCCTGGGAGGACCACAAGAGTCACCATAACCGTTCTAGACTTCCCACTTCCAGATCACTTATATGGAAGGGCAATACACGTCTACTGTTTAAGCCACAATTACTTGTGCTCATCTTATGTTTATCTACTACAGCACAACCTAACCTCAACGTATACAATAACCAAAGAATTTCTGGGCAGAAAAGACTTAGACTTATCTCTCCAGCAGTCTGCCAATAAATCAAATAGATTGGCACTATCCAAACACTCTTTTAGAAGCGGTTACTTGGATGAGCAATAAACCATAAAGAGAAGTCCTCATTTGCAGACATGCCATCTGAGCCTTACTCATTACAGTTTGCTCATTTAATAGTTAGGCAATAGCATAAGGTACTGATGTGTAAAATAGAATTTTAAATGCTACATCAGAAGGAAATGAAATATGTTGCAATAAATCTGTGTTTTTAAGAAACAGAAATAGGAAGTAATTTTTCATCCCCCTCAATGAGACCTAGCATTCCCTCTATAAACTTGTGTGCATTAATAAAATTTCTACAAATATTCACAGTATCAAGGCACTCCTTTTTAACTATTCTCATACTCATTTTTCTCTGGAAACTGTCCTCAAAGGTTAAGGACAGGTACCCAGTGTTTAGGCCAGGGCTGTACTACATGGCCCTGCCCTTCTGGCCAAAATCCAATTCTCTCTCTCATAAATCTGAAACTCTGAACTTAAAACAAGGGACTGAAAATCTGATTAACTGAAAAATTCAGAAATATATGAACTCTGGGGCGCCTGGGTGGCTCAGTCGTTAAGCATCTGCCTTTGGCTCAGGTTCTGTTCTCAGAGTCCTGAGATGGGAGTCCCACATCAGGCTCCCTGCTCTGCGGGAAGCCTGCTTCTCCCTCTCCCACTCCCCCTGCTTGTGTTCCCTCTCTCGCTGTGTCTCTCTCTGTCAAATAGATAAATAAAATCTTTAAAAAAAAGAAATTGTTTCAAATAGTTTCATTAACACAATGTTAAAACAAAGTTAATTTATCTATTAACAGTAAGTTGGTTGGGATTTAATCACTTGAGTCTCCCCTGGACTGTTCCAAGAGCTTGTTAAGTCTTGTTACAATACAATTCTAAGGATTTCAAAAGGTCCTAACTAAGGGTTACACAATGTGTATAATCCCACTAGCACTGGATTTTTTTTTTTTTAGTTCAGTATTTAAAATTTTTTTTATGGTAG